TATGAACAGCTTCATACAATCCCATACGTTCTATTTTGACACATAGTTACCGCCTAGCGTTTTCGCGTCCGTGCGAACGCTCGCTAAAAGTACTGAATTTGTACTGTCACACGAACAAGGGAAGAACGGAGTCTGTCCCTGGTAAAGTCCTTGTCTGACCTCTGATATCTTTAGATTTATTGCTGCTGAGTCCCACAAGGTTGCCATTCGCCGAGTGCATTTCATTCGAGAGTTTACGTGTGTCGTTGAATATTGGATTTAGAAATTAAACACTGTGCAGTTTTATATTATTAATATGATGCGATGACTGTGATGTAAATTGTTGAAGAATTTAATTTCACGAATGATTAATTAGTATTTACACGCATTAACGATAATTAATAGTTCATAGTTTTTACAATATAACAATAGTAATATGAAATTTGAATGTGTCGGGAATAAAAGGGTTCCTTTGAGCGGGGCTGGGGGCGGAGGCGCGAGGCGCGGGGGGGGGGGCGACGTGTTTTACGTAGGAAGTTGTTCATCACGCAATAAATCTTGTGGACGCAACGTGATACTACACGGTACACTAATCGTGGTACAAATAGTTTAGCGTAGTCAAATTTTGGGAGTAAAATATTTTTAACTACTAAAAGCAAGAATGATTCATAGCTTTGTGTCTGAAAACTTCCATTTGGCAAAAAAGTTGAAAAATAAATTGTAAACGTGCAATATTTAAATTTACCTCAAGTATAAAATTTGCAAAGTAACTTTTATTGTAATAAAAAAATGAATTGTTATCTTGACTTTGTTGTGAATATAACAATAAATAAAATTAACCTAAAAATAATTAGCATAGTATAATTTGGATTTGTTTTGTTCGTTGTTAAATTAAATACTATTGTATTATCTTTATTTTCACATATTCAACGAATTCTGAATATTATAATTAAGCGCCCGAGTCGTATACTGTTATCACTCAAGAATTATCTCATTGTTTTATATTGACACGGTTTCTTCAACGTCGTTTTCATGTTTTAAATTATTATATTTTGTTTCCATTTTTAGTACAAGTGCCTTTGTGAAGTGTAGTACTCGACACGTATTTGTAAAGAATATTTTTAAGTAATGAAAGTGAACCGTAGTTCAAATTGAACAAGGTATAAGATTTTTTGATTGGTGACAGCATTAAAATTGGGTATCATATATTTTTCTCTTTATTATTTTGTATTTAATTTATGTCTTGACTGATTTAATTATTATGCTTTTAAATAAATAGATGAAATCACTCGATTAGTGTACCGGGTCATGTAGCAGTGATATATAGCCGGGGCGGCCGGCGCGGAATCACAGGCTGACAAATTCATTCCGTACTTGACACCTTGCTCTGTATACTTTCCGCCCCGGCCGCCAGGGGCGCTAGGGGGCACGCTAATCTTACCCCGGACTTTTATACTCTATGCCATGCGTAAGCTTTCACTTAATATCTTACTGCAATAATTAAATACTAAGGACCTTGTAGTAATTTTGCTTACTTCTGTGCTAAGTGTATCCCTGAGTGCGATTGTGGGATTATATTTAGGGAAAGAGCTCGTTTAGGGAAGAAACAGGATTAGTTAAGTTTTACGATAGTGCATTAATTACTCATGGTCTAAATATATCTATAGTACCTATTTATACTTAATGTTGTTGATTAATGAGAAGAAAAATTAGCTTTAGAGCCTGCGCACACCTTTGACTAAACTGTCGCACAACAGTCTAGTCCCGCTGTGATTCCTTTGTGCTTATATGAATGCTAAACAATTGAATTGACTGCGAAACAATCGACAATCACACAACACACAACAGTTGTGCGATAGTTTAGTAAAAGGTGTGTCCCGCTCTTAATATTGATAGATTCCAATGAACGTTAAGTGAAAGTTATGACATAGTATCAGTTGCATTTTGCCACGCGAAATATGACTTTATGTCCAACCTGGAAAGGCTAACGCAGTCTCACGTCTCTCTCTGCTTGCGATTCACGTGTTTGTCTTTTTTTGTTTTTAATTTTAATGAGCGACATATGTGTTTATACAATTTAAGTCCATATAACATGTTGCGTAAGAACTAAAATCGTCTGTACCACGTGCAAGGTAATTTGGGAGGCCTTACCGCATTGAGCAAGGTTTGTACTTCTCTAGTTAGTAATTTATTGTAATGCTTGTATTGATACATGTTGTCTCTATTTTTTTTTAATGAACAAAAGAGACGACAATACAAGTGCTGAGAAAGATGACTCCAGTAATAGGAAACCTATGTTTTTGTAAAGTATGGAATTGTCAAATCTTTGAACCAAAATGAAATTAACAAATGTATTTAAGGGTTATAATATGAAGTGTTTTGTGTAATTAAAGATAACTACATACAGAATAAATAAAATTATAAATATAGGACACAATGTCATGTGAAAGAGCCACGATTTTCCTTATGAAAACGTGATTGCATCATTGTTTTGCTTTTTATTTTGCATACAAAATAAGGATCACGTCAAAAATCTACTAAATGTCTTTAGATTCAGATACAAAGTATTAGCTTTGTAGGTTAGTTCTTGTAATAATTACAAAACAACTAATCTATTATAGCTAACACAAGGTTCAAACGAAGGCTTTCCATGTTTCAATTTAATTTAATTACCTCATCAAAGGTCGATTCATTACTTTTATTATTATCAAAAAACCGACTTCCAAACAAAATACACGAAAAACAAAACAAAATGCACTAAAAACAAAACAAAATACACCAAAAACAAAATATTCTCA